ACACATCTTCTTTTATTCCTGTAGATGCTTAAAGTGTGCAGATGCCCCCTGTCAGAAGAGTTGCCCAACTAATCTGGACATCAAGTCATTCATCACAAGTATTGCAAACAAGGTAAAGTCAGGCTTGCAGTAGTATATGGAGGGAGATAGCAGCAGTTACTTGCAGTTCTGTGGGTGAGATTACATTTCAAGGTTTATTTTTGTAAAATCTTCAAAAAAAAGTGTTTGGAACAGATGTTTTGAAGTTTGAGTCAGCTAATTTTTAAATTTTTTTACTTCTGTTCTATGCCTGTACAGATATGTGTAGTGCAGCTCTATTTCATGTCACTTTTTATATAAAGTCTTTGGTTTTGATGGTTTTCAAATACAGTGATATTCAAAACCCTGAGCATTATAATGTCATTATTTAACCTTTCTACTACCTGAGGTATAATAGTTACAAACCTTTTCGTTTGTTAAAGGTGGGAGTTTTGGAATAGTTTTATTTTTTTAAGAAGTGATTGTAGTTTAAATTTCCTTTGGGCAGAAATTTGGTATGGAGGTGGTCATCTCAAGGAATGTTTGCTTGTACTTTATAGTAAGAGGCTCTGGTTAATGTAAATGTGGTCAGTCACTAGGACCTTTAATAACATACTACAGAAATAAATGGAACTCCCTCTTTGGAGATACTGTATTTTTTCCTTTCTTAATAGGCTACTATACCATGATCATAATGAAATCTTAAAAACATTATTCTGAATTGTGGTTTACAAGTGACTTTTAATGGGCAGAAATAAATAAAGATTGCTGCAAAGTTGATGTGACAAGATTAATTAGGCTGTCTGGGATAGCCTAAAGATGACTGGATATTGATTGCCCCATACCTTTTAAAACTTACTTCCCATCTGTGGAATCATTAGCTGCCATGTGATTTATTCGTCTACATGAGCCCAACTAGACTCATAATCTACTGAGGGTGCTACAAAGATTTCCTGTCTGCCTTTTATGCTCTAACATGTCTCACTCTTGAATGCAGCTGAAAGGGCCAACACAGGTAAAGCTGGAGTGAAGTTGGTGGGCAGCAGCAGCACTTCCATGTGCAAGTGAACAGCCACATTGATTTTACTATTCTGTGTGTGACACCAGTAAATTCTGCACCTTAACAAGAAACATTAGCATAAGAGCAGGTATTAAAATGTGTGTATCAATTATAATGTGATGTGATTTGCAGTAATTGGTATTATGCCCAATATATGCCTATAGACAGTTTTCTTATATAGTCTATACCCTGTCACTGCTGCATTTATTTTCATGAATGTAGGCATCTGTTTGTGACCATAGTATCGTTTGTGGCATATTGCTGCTTATTACCTCTTCAGGCATCGTGAAGCAGGCAAACTGAGCAGAGAAGGTACAAGGCAGTAATGAAACTGCTACTCTCCATCTCGTCATTGTGCTGTAGTTTGTTTAGGAAACCTAAAGCAAATTTTATGGAAGTATTTTACCAGGATGATCTTTTCTTATTAAGGATTAGTTTCGCTACTGCTTTGAGTAGGATAGGGTGATATGTTGTTGAGGAAAGAAAAAGGGCCTGATTATAAAAACATAAAGCTGGGATTAAGCGACCAGGGAAGATGAATTGAAGACTGCAACTGAAGGTGTCAGAAAAAGAACTAACACCAGCAACATCCTGGTACAATAAATTCGATGGGTCTCTTAGACTCTGACTGCCTTGACTATATGATGCCCCTTTGTGACTTGACAGAAAGCGTAAGTCATTTTAACAGCTGATTCGTTCTGAATTCTGTGGTTCCATTACAGAGCAGAGAATATGAAGGTGGGGTGACTGCAGAGCTTTGAGAGTTGTGGTTTGGCAAAGGTATACTGGAATGATAATAGTAAACTGCCTCAAAGGTTCGAAGTAAAGTCTTTGCCCTGCCAAAGCCAATGAGTACAGTCTTACTGATTTTAATAGACCCAAAATTAACCTGTCAGATGGTCATTGAGGTTGATCAACCCTTTAAAGTTTGTGCTGTTTGGTGATGATTTTAAATCCTCTTGGAAACTGCAGATGCTAGGAAGACAATGGTTTTGCCCTAAGCAGGTGACCAGATCACTTGATGTTTTATCAGAAAATCCTGCTATAGAAAATAATTGCAATGTCCTACTTTTCTCTCAGGAGATTTAGCACTTTTTTTTTGGTGGAAAAACTGAAGTATCTTAGATTACTGAAATGTAACTATAGCATGTCTTTTTGGACCCTATCCATATCTATCAATAGCTTTTATATCCACTCTGAAACTAGATTTTATAAAAGGTATACAACAGCTTTTGGTAACTGCTTTTACCTCATGTTGATGTCTGGTTATTGTGTAGGCAGAAGGAAACATTCAAATACAGGAAGTTTTAAAAAGTCTTATACTTAGTTTCTGCTGTTCAGGATGTTAGGATGGAAAATTGCATACCTCAAATCAGTGCTGCTTCTGTGAAATCAAGTTTCAAGTGTGAGTTTACAGTCTTAACCTCTGCTTTCTCGCCTTACCCTGTTGGAAGGAATCTTATATAGCAGCATGGTTGTGGAAGCATTTCTCTGCAACAGCTCTAATGCTGACTTTAAAAACAAACAACCAGAAAACGAAACCAAAAACCAAACCCCCCAGAATTAGAAGTGAGTAAAACCCACACTGGGATATGCTTAGCAAGTAGCTGAATTTGTGGACTAAGAAACAAGACCAGGAAGTCCTGCATGCTCTCGGCAGGGGTGTTGGAACTAGATGATCTTCAAGGTCCCCTTCCAACCCAAACCATTCTATGTTCGTAGCATCCATGTCAGTGGCTGTCCTTCCTGTAATTCATGTACAAAGCAACTTAAGGAAATTGCCGGGCATAGAGGGAACATAACCTTGACTTGATGACTGTAGTCTGCTAGGCTGAATTTTCCTTTTGATGCGTTAGTTTCTGATGCCTTTGCTAGAAGAGGTGTCTCTTACAACAAATTCTGTTATTCAGAAAAAGTAACAGGAAATTTTTCTGGTTTTCTTTATTGATTGAACTTTTGTATAGGTATAGGAATGTACTACTGTTTTTACAGTACTGCACTTTGAAACTCCTTGCTTTCTGTCAGGCAAGCAATAGATATAAGGTGGAAGTTGAGAGAGGGGTACCAGAGGTTACAGTGATCCATGACTGTGGTAGAGTCTGTGTGAGAGCCCACTACCATGGCTGCTCTTGTGGTGTCCTCTGCCCTCTTTCATTCTGGTGCTGTGGTGGTACCTGCACCATACACTTTTAGAGCAGATAGAAAACAAGAATAGTGTGCTTTTGAACACTAAAACTTGTAATTTGTAATTTTGAAAGTTTTTAATATAACCAGTAAGTAACTTTTCACTTTATTGTGCATTTTACTAAACTTTTATTGAAATAATCACTTGGATATCATTCAGTAGTCTGAATATTCAGCTTGAAGAATATTTCTGTATTACTGTCACAGAAATACTTCCTTAATATGAGCAACGATGTTTTACGTGTCATTGAAAATACTTTTCAAAATGATGAATCTGTTTTTGCTGTTTTCATCCTGTAAATAAATTTCCTTTTTTAATCCAAAAGCTTATAAATATATATGGTAGCTTCTAGAAAATTAAATAGGTGGAGCATAGAACATTCAGGTGTTTGAGGTCAATAAATTCAGGAAATTTGGGTGTGTTTTCTAGACTTATTGAAGTCCCTGTCCTGCTTCTGAATCTCTCTTCATCACTCACTTGAGACACTCACTTCAGCTAGCTACCCTTCCACTTGTTTAGAGAAGATTCCGTTCAATAAATTCCTTGTCGTTATCCTTGTGTAAGCAGTGTCGCACGCAGGTATTTATTTAAACATGATTCATTATTAATATAGAGTATTTAGACAGCAAAGTACTGAAAATGAATTACTTTGTGAAGTATTTAAGAGCTCTATTGTATGCAGTTTGTTTTGTTGGAAAACGGCTATAGCAGTCATAAAAGGTCAGGGATTCTCGTTCGCTTAAGCCTGAGGCTTTTTAGATATTTACAGGCCATGTACAGTGTAGCTCTTCTGGCTGTTCTGCCATTAGACCTGAGCTCAGGAGTAGAAGAGGGACAGGGGAGGAGGGTTGTTTCTGCGTTGAGAGGGTAATTGAATTGCCAGACTCAATGAGCCTTGAGCCTCTTCAAGAAAAAGGATGTCACTTATGCTGTATTGTGTTGGCTGCTGCGACTCAGTTGAGTATAGGCTACAACTTCCATTCTCTTTTTCCATACAAACTGTATTACAACTCCACTTTATAAAGGTACAATCTATTCTATTGTGTCTTCCCAGTTCGTGTGTCTCAGTTCATATAGACTGCTTGCAATTGAGTCTCTCAGAGACCAGACTTCAAATTCACCATGCACACATCACTACTTTTATTTCTAAATATCAGAAAATGGCAAACAAGTATTCTGACTTTCAACTGTCCTCTTTAAATACAGCCATCACATTGCAAAGTGTATATTCTTTGTTTTACAATGCACAAGTGCTTAGTTGTTTTTTTCTTTAAAAAGAAAAAAACCCTGGAAACAAACACTAGAAAAACCCCAAATATGTTCAGCTGCTGCAGGAGAAAGCTTTGCCCCATAGCCCTGAATGAGTACCAGGAGTGATTTTAGGATTTTATGTCCTCCTTTCCCTGTGTTGATATGTCAAAGCAAAAAGGAATTGGTAAAATGGAGCTCTGGCACAAGCAAATGTTTTACAGCAGCAGAAAATCCTAGTTTCCCAGAAGCATCTTTCAGCCTGAACACTTGCAGGCTTTCAAGCTTTTCTCCTGTTCAGCAAAACCATGTGCCAGAGAATCTGCCCTTTAGAAAGCAACTGTTCCTCACATGCTCACCACCTTTGAACTGTTCAGTGAGTGAGTCTTGGAGCTTTTTGTCATCAGACACCTTTATGGTTGAGTAGTAGCATTGAAAAACAAGTCTTTGTGGGGATATTAACTTTTGTTATGCAGCACAGGCATAAGGTGTGAGTGAAGAATAAAGAATTGGGGGTGCAGAAGTATTTTTTTGTGTTATCTGTCTTCAAAGAACACACTGTTGCTGTAGCCCTCTGTTACCAGCTCTCACATTTTTATCT